TTGTTTATCTGCCTTCTAGTTCACAAAACCGCTCTTACTCTCGTTATTTTCACTCTTCTTACATCGAGTACAATTTGCTCTTCTCTTTATAGCTTCTCAAAGAAAAGCTTAGATAATTTATCGCAAGCACTTTCTTGTTTCCAGTACAGGCCTGTGGCTATAATTTCTCCCCGTTAATCACTGTTCCAGAGCATCCTACACAATTTTTGATGCACGGTATCTTAATTTTGACTCCTAGCTTAGTTTTTTTTAATTTCCTTCTTTGTTGTTGCTGTTCTTTAATCCTAAGTTTATTTAGGAATGTGTTGCTTAATTTCCAGATATTTTAGAATTTTCACACATATTTCTGTTAAATTGCTATCTAATATACTTGTACTGTGGTTCAATAACACACTCTGATTTTGATGCCTTGATAGTTCGTAAGGATTAGTAGATGGCCCCACCTGTAGAATATATTGATTTTATATGCACTGGAAAAGAATTCTGCAATTGAGGGTATGGTGTTACAGCCTTGTCATTTAGATAAAGTTGTCTGATGGTGTTGTTCAAATGTCTTATATCTCTACTAATTTCTTATCAGCTAACTCTATTCAGTATTGATAAAGAAGTAGAAAAATTTCAGGGGCGCCTGGGTGGCTCAGTCGGTTGGGCGTCTGACTTCGGCTGGGGTCATGATCTCACAGTCCGTGAGTTCGGGCCCCGCATCGGGCTTTGTGCTGACAGTTCAGAGCCTGGAGCCTGCTTCGGATTCTGTGTCTCCCTCTCTCTCTGCCCCTCCCCTGCTCATGCTCTGTCTCTCTCTGTCTCAAAAATAAATAAAAACATTAAAACAAATTTCAAAACAAAGAAGTAGGAAAATTTCAAAACAAAAAGGTAGGAAAATCTCCAGCTGCATTTGTGGATTGGTGTAGGTATCTATTTATTTTTCCTTCATATATTTTGAAGTTATGCTGCTAGCCGCTCACGCTGTCATTTAAAAAATTTTTTTAAATGTTTTATTATTTATGTTTAACAGTGAGACAGGACAAGCAGGGGAGGGGCAGAGAGAGAGAGGACACACAGGATCTGAAGTAGGCTCCAGGCTCTGAGCTCTCAGCACAGAGCCCAACGTGGAGCTCGAACTTCATGAACCAAGAGATCACGACCTTAGCCGGAGTTGGACGATTAGCCAACTGAGCCGCCCAGGTGCTCTATCATCGTACCCTATTGTGGTATTTCCATTTCTAACACTGTGAAGTACCCCTCCTTTTCTCTAGCATACTTCCTGTAGGCATGTGACTTACTAATACTAATATACCCATGTCAGCTTTATTATGCTGGGTGTTTCCATGGTATCTCTCGTTTTACTTTTAGCTTATCTGTGTTGCTGTATTTAAATGTGGCTTTCTTGTAAACAGCTCGCACTTCAATTTTTTTTTCCATACTGAAAAATCTTTTGTATTTACTTGTATTGTTCAGAGGATTTATGGTTGTATTTATGTGTCTAGTCTTTATTTTCCTGTTCCATCTTCTATGCCTTCTTTGTTTTTTAATCTTTCTTTCCAAACGTTTATTCATTTTTGAGAAACAGAGAGAGGCAGAGTGCCAGCAGAAGAAAGGCAAAGAGAGAGGGAGACACAGAATCCGAAGCAGGCTCCAGGCTCTGAGTTGTCAGCACAGAGCCTGATGCGGGGCTCAAGCTCACGATGCACGAGATCATGACCTGAGTCAAAGTCAGAGGGTTAACCGGCTGAGCCACCCAGGCTCTCCAATGCCTACTTTTAGGTGAATAGAGCAATTATTTTAGCATGTCTTTTTATGTTTTCTATCCATGGTTTGGCTCTATATATTCATGTGATTTTCCATGTTTTTTTTTTTTTTTTTTAGAGATTACAATATACATAAAAAGCATGATTCATGACTGATAAAAACACCTCATGATAATGTAATTCCATTCAACCACTTCTTTTGTTCTTAGTGTCATATACTTAACTTGTACATTTTTCAAATCCCAGGTGACATTATTCTATTTTGTTTAAAAAGTTGTCTATTAAATAAACCAGATATATTTAGAGTACATCAGATCAGATAGATAGGATTAGTCTAGAATTTTCCTGTTCTCTGCGATCTTTATCCTGTTTGGCTATCTATGTTTTATTCTGTACAAAAAAATGGATTTTTCTTTTCCTATGCTTTCAAATAGTTTGTCGTACTGGAGTTATCTGATCTTTGAAAGTTTGGTAGAATGCTGCTGTGTCACCACCTGAATTTTTTAAAGTGTGAGAATTCTGGAAGAACTGGACATGTTCCACTGCGGCCCTCACATGTTCTCAGCCTCCAGCACTATTCCCCGCTACTCCCTCCTGCACTTGAACTGTGCCCCTACAATTGCTCCTCCCCACCCCCACCTGTCTTAATTCCGGCTGCTATCCCTGAATACAACAGGATGGGGGCTTATAAACAACAGAAATTTATTTCTCACAGTTCTGGAAGATGGAAAGTCCAAGATCAAGACACCAACAGATTTGGTGTCTGGTGTAGCCTCTTTCCTGGCTCACGGTCATGTGACAGTCTTCTTACTGTATGTTCACATGACTAAAGGGGTGAGGGAGTTCTCTGGGGTCTCTATTATAAGGCACTAATCCCATTCACAAGAGCTCTACTCTCATGATCCAAGCACCTCCAAAAGGCCCCATTTCTTAATACCCATTGAGGTGAGGTTTCAACATGTGAATTTGGGAGGGAACGAGCATACGTTCTATGGCAGTACTCAATGCCTAACTTGTGGCTGTTAATCCCTAAGAACAATTTCTCCTTCTTCCAAGAAGGTTTGGCCAACTCTTTTCAAAACTAGCTGACTCCAGATCTGATACCTCTAAATTCTGCCCTTTGTCCCCAAGATAGAACACTCCTTCAGACTTCTCTTGTGGCTGGCATTAAAAATAAGGGCTTATGATTAACACTGCGCTGGTTTATTTTATTGCACAGAAATTGGTGTTCTGAACAGGAT